CTTCCGTAAACTTAATGTTCTAGTTACACTGAAAACAGCTTCATTCAGCTGACCAAGTTGTGATCTTGGCTTTGTCGAGATCTGTGCATATTACTGACTTTAAGTGACAAATCATAGCAGGAGTATAAAGGACGGGGGTGAGGGGGTGGGAAGATGGATAATAATAACGAACAACGATATATCAGAGACATTTATGGGGGTGGAGTGGGGAGTGGGATCAAAAACAGTGGGGGGAAGGAAGTGTGCTGGACTATGGTGATGGCACAGGGGTGATTTGGTGATGGGAAGCCCACGGGATAACAACTGAGGTGGGAAAAGGCACAAAATGATGTAAAAATAAACTATTATTTAAAAAATTAGAGTGAAAAGTTACATTTCATAATGTCTAACAATTTAACACTGCATCTAAATTAAGTTATCAATGAGATGATAGAAGAGCAAATCTGGTCTCAAACAATGAGAATAAGAAGAAATGGTTTCTGGACCTAGTTCCCAAGACCGAATTGCTGATCTGTTAATTATGGTTTTCCTAATAAGAAAGCACTTGTTCTGGAAAATAAGGTATTTGTTGAGCAAAATTGTCAAACATTAGCCTAGAAGTATAATTTTTTCATTTTGCTTTTTCTCTTCTCTATTTTCTTTACCTCAGAAATCTCAACCACCAACTCCTCTTTGAAAACTTAAAACACCAATCCCTTGGACAATCATCCTAGTAAATAAAATGTAATGAAGCAATGGTTATTTTCTTTTTCCCATTAATGAGTTGCTGAGCTTCAAATTTGTTCTGTCAAATCAAATTCTAACATTCAACATTAATTTTGAGCCCCTTGAGACATAAGGGTAGTGATTTGATGAACTCCAAATTTATAAATTTCATTCATATTTTCATTTCTTTCAATTCTTTACTTATATATATTTCAAAAACTGCCTCTCTTTTTGTAGTGTCAATTCAAGGAGCCAGTGGCCCTCTTGTTTTTCAGGAAAACATCTTTACAAAAAAAGATGTTATTTTAGATGCCATATTACGAGTATTCCCAATTTGTTCCCAAGGCCTTAAGAGTACACTAACAAGATGTTTTATTTAATAAAATATGTACATATAGGACTTGTGTGTGTTATATATAAAAATATGCATATATTACAATATATAATAGCATCTTTTAATTAATGGACTGTTTTCCTTAGCAAATTCAGAAAAAACAAGAATTCTATGATATATTTATTCAATGATTATTTTATCTCACTGGTACTTTGGTCTTTATGCTGTTCTTCATGTTGAATTATTTATTGAAAAGAAATATCTTTAACCACTTCCATTCTTCTACATATTTCAGATCTTCACTTATTGAATTTTTCCTAGGACATTTAGAAAACTGATTCATGTGTATGTTTGTGTATGTGTGATAGTATGACTTCTAAAAGACAAGTGTTTATAAAAAAGTTAATCTTGTGGTGATTTAGATCATTTACTGGATTCAGTTAGAAGTTATAAATTGAACCAAGGACAAGCTTTGAATGGGAAAAAAAAAAGCTAAATAGTGCAATTGTTGAAATAAGATTGCAAAAGTTTCAAAAATTTAGATTTTTAGATTTGTAAGAGATCTTAAGTTATATATTCTAGAAATTTTACATGTACCTACAAGATTCTGACACATGCACACACTTCAGCATTCTTTGGAAATCATCCCGGGTTTTGTATTAAAAGATATTAATAGTTGTCTTAAAATAAGATGATTTTGGTGACCTTGCCACCATTTTTACTTAAAACTATTTTTCATTCATATAAACCACAACTTATCAGCTTTTAACATTTACACAGGTCTGCAGAAGAAAGAAAAGAAATGGGGTCAATATGTCAAAGTAGCTTAATTTCTTATATTTGTTTTTAAATTTTGCTACTTTAGAAATTAAAATAAGATGAATTTTACAGATAGTAAAACTACATTTTGTCATATATACAGTCATATATCTATTTACATCAGGCAATATACTTTTTTTTTTTTTAAAGATTTATTTATTTGTACATACAGAACTGGGGTGCAGGCCAGAGTCTCAGGGGTGGCGAGAGGCTTCACCAGAGACAGAGTGGGGAGCAGAACAGGCAGATCGACGAAGTACACTGCTGAGGGGAGCAGCGGGCGGGTCAGCAGAGGTCTGCCACGCCCTGTGGTCACCTCCGGGGCAGGCGGGAATCGAACTCATGCGGAAGTGGCTTTAGCTTCTGAGTGCTGTGCTTTAACCCGCTGCGCCACCAGGGAGGGCCAGGCAATATACTTTTTAAAGTATGTTCAAAAAGGTTTGGAGATCATTGCTCATGTAACACAATGACAAATGTTTGCTATAGCTAAATGTTGGGGACTTGTGAACAGATTTGTTAGAAAAGGATTTTTTGTTCAATGGAATTTTATTGAAGCCAGATCATCAAACTAGCACTATTGAGACAAAAAAATTTCTCACATTGAGTGGAGATGAAAAATAAACTTTTCCATGTAAAATTTCACAGAGGAAGTAAACTCTTCCTGTAGTCTTGTGGGTCTAGACAGGGGTTGAGACTTTAAATAGCAAAAGACAAATAATGAGGAGAAAAGCATAACAAATGTACCTGATGTTAATATTTTGACACCAGCATGAAATTTGATGTGATGTAGCAGCTTTTTTAGAAAAGAAATAATGACCCCAATAAACTGACAGAACTAAGAGCTCATTTTTCATTTCAACAAAGTGTAAGACCTTGTGGAGTATGTGATCACAGAAAGGAAAAAGGGGTTTGAGTAGGGGCAGAACATTGAGGGAAAGTGACAAGGACATATCTGGAGGAAACTATTGGAAGATAAAGGCTATTTTACTTATCATTTTCTCATTTCTAGTGTATCTTCCTGGTACATGAAGAACATGTTTCCATGGGAATTTTATGTCCTGCTTCAGGCAGAACAGGAGAAGGTCCAGAGAGCCATTCTTGCATCTGCTGTTTGTAAGCACTTTCTGCCCAATACAGTCTGCCATAATGGCCTATTTGGGGATTACATGTTCTGATCCTCTTCATTAACCTATGCAGAAGTGCCAACTTCCATGTACAAATCACCTAGTTTCTACAACTATTAACTCATTGTCAACTTTTTTACCTAACCTCATAGTTTCTTTATTTTCTAGGGGCCCTTTCTGAATTATTTTGAAGCAAGTTTGAATATAATATTAACAATATATAGAAAATAGATTCAGAAAGATTATTTCAGTTAACTAAGATATTTTACTTTCTCTAAGAAATTTTATCCATTAATTATTTCTTGAACTTTTTTATAGCTACTTTTATGATGGTAGCCATTTTTCTTCTAAATGAGGGGATTTGCAGACAGATGTTGAGTGATTGCCTTAAGAAATCTCTGTCCCATCAGAAACAAAGGGGTCATAAGTAAATCCCTTAATCTTCCAAATACATCTGGAGATGGACTGTAGGCAAAACCTGTACATTCCTGTTTTCTACACTCTTACTAAACTATACTTCTTCCATCTTGCTTTCTCTAATTGTATCTTGCATGTGAGCAGGTTACGAGACAAACAAGACTCCTTTTGACCTCCCCAAGTTCTACTGACTGACATTTTCATTATTTTTCCTCACCATATTTAAATATTGCCAACATTTAAATGTACAGAGATCTTAAAATTGCTATTTCTGCTTTTGAAAATCAACATAATAAAATTTGGATTTCTTTCACTCCAAAATACTAAGCCAAAATAGTGTACCTTCTTTGAGGGTAAAACATGAACTTTGACCTAGTCATGGTTCCCACACATTTTGTGTTTTTCAATCATGTTGCTTACTTATTTGAGAGCTACCATCAAAATTTCTGGTATGGAATCTGTTTTCTCATTGCCAACCTTGCATTTACTTTGACAGTTTAGATATAAAGAGTACTGTCTCCCATGTTGATGATTGAACACATCTTACAAACGCTATTCTTCAGTGTCTGTCTAATCTCTTCCTCCATTTCCAGCTCAAATCCTACATAGGTTTGTCCAACTTCAACATTGTTCTCTATCTGGAACCACAGGGCATTTATCTAGGTAACTTAGATATTTGGCTCCCAGGGTGCTTTAGGCACCCCCCCTAAAATGTTACCATTGTGCTCTTTATAGCTAGTCCTCAATTTCTCATTTAAAAGTGAATATGATAACTCTGTAACCAACTGGGTCACCACTATGGATAAATGCATTTTCTTTATTCTGGAAGGGTGGACTTGCTGGATCATAAGCCCTAGAAGTCTCACTGTAGACTTGAATAAAGAAAGAGGGACATTGTGGAGAACAAGATACGAAAGGAGCCCAGTAGAGGACTGTGGATTCATTGGTGATGGGTGTGGTGAGGTGTGACCATATGACTGTGAATTACATACAGTATTGTAAACCAATACTACATCAAATATTAATTAGGTACTTAAATTTGAAAAATGAAGAGGGAAGAGTAAACTAAAAGGAAAAAGTAAAAAAGAACACCACATACAAAAAAAAATGAAATCTTCCACATTTTATTGTCTCATGGTTGACAACCTATTTTCGTCTTTATATTTATAGCATGAAATGACTTAGAGAATTTTATCATGTAAGCTTTCTATATTTCCCTACTCAGGACTTAGATTCTAAACAAGAAAAACGGCTGTACTCACCCCTCTGCAGGTTCAGTAATGATTTGAAAAGATGAGACAACATGAGCTATCACAAGTTTGTATCATACCTAAGAAATAATTGATTTCAAACCCAGTAGAGTTCCTCCATCATCCAAAATAAATGAAATGTTCTACACTTAAAGTTGAGAACTTGCTAAAGTTTCCAAATACCACTACAAAACTACAGTTAATTGTATATTTCTTTTTTCCCCAGTTACAGATAAGCAACTTGCAGAACATTCCTGAAAATAAAGGAAGATTATTTAAATGTTACATGATCATTTATTCGGGGCTTCTATTTTACATCAATACTGAATAAACCAAAGTGCCTAGGAAGAAATGTGGTATTCAGAGTCATTAATCTTTGCCATCGGAGTGCTAATGTTGAAGAATATCTTCTTCAGAATCTTTGTTAGATACCGTGGAACATTCCTTCTGTTTCCAGTGTGTTTGACACAGGATTTCAGAGCAGCTCCTGTTTCTCCAGATACTCCTTACCTGTGGGTTTCCAATGCCCCAGTTGAAGTTTGTGATGAATTGCACAATATAAACATAGATATGAGCCTCTTCTCCTTATCAGGAAGCCCGCGGAAACAGGTCAAAGACCAAGGTATCGCAACATTTTATACTGACAAGCTTGGCTACTACCCTTTTATAGAGTTACATACCAACGAAAATGTGAATGGAGGAATCCCCCAGTTGGGATGTCTAAAAAACCATCTGGATAAAGCTACTAATGATATTCGCTATTACATTAAATCGAACAAAGTAGGCTTGGCTGTCATTGACTGGCCAGAGTGGAAGCCTCTTTGGGAAAGAAACGTGCGACGTAAAGAAGTTTACCAGGCTCAATCTATTGAGTTGGTTCGCCAAAACAATTTAAGACTTTCTTATGATGAGGCCGCCCAAATTGCCAAAGTCGAGTTCGAAAAGGCAGGAAAAAATTTCATGGTAGAGACTTTAAAATTAGGGAAATTACTACGGCCTAAATACTTATGGGGTTTTTATGTCTTTCCGAACTGTTACAATAGTCATTATAATGTACCCAATTACAATGGTAGTTGTCTGGATTTACAATTGAGAAGAAATAATGAGCTCAACTGGTTGTGGAAAGAAAGCACTGCTCTTTTCCCATCCATTTACCTAAATTTAGAAGTAAAGCAAATAGGAAAAGAAGCCCACTTTGTCCGGAACCGAGTGAGGGAAGCACTTCGGGTTTCTAAGGTGCGAAACTTTAAGGACCCAGTTCCAGTATTTGTATATTTCCGTCCACTGCTTACTAGTTATCCTGAGACATACCTTTCTAAGGTAAGAAAATCAAGGGATGAGGGTTAAGGAATACTGTGTTCCATGGTGTTAATGGCATTTAACATCATTTTTGTAGGAAGGGAAATTATGCTTTTTAAAAATATTTATTTAGGCATACAGAACTGGGGTACAGGTTGTGGTGAGATGATTCACCACAGTCAGAGTGGGGAGCAGAACCAGCAGATGGACGAAGTAGACTGTGGAGGGGAGCAGCGGGGCGGGTCACCTCCGGGCCTGGGCAGAACTAGCAGTGAAATGGCTGCGGTTCGCTTGTAGTGCTGCGTCCTAACCCGTTGTGCCACCAGGGAGGGCCCAGAAATTATGCTTTTAATAGCTTTTAGGATTATGCACACAGGTCGTATACCTGATTACATAAGTGCAAAATAGGAAGATTTCATGGCCAATGTCTGCAATCATGGAGAATAAGGTAGCAGAGTCAACGTTTAACTAAATTTCTTGCTGTTTCTTTCCTGGGCCTGATCTCTTGTCAACAGAAGTAATTAAAATCATAATAGGAACTCTGTATGTTTGGCATCTAGGGCAGTGTTGTGTAATAGGGGGACCCTGGGGGAGTATATAAAAATATTATTCTGGGTTCTTCATGCTCAGCTTAGGTGTCACTGTCTCATGTCTAACAATTTGAGGTTATTCCCATCTGTTAACTCTTGCTATCACATCCTCCAGGCTGACCTTGTGAGCACAATTGGTGAAAGCATTGCTCTGGGTGTCTCTGGAATCATAATGTGGGGAGGTTACCAGGTAAACCAGAGTGTGGTAAGTTGTATTGGTAGCAATGGACCCTTATTTTTAATGGTTTTGGGAATTTTTGTGATATTAAATGATAAAATAAATACTATGCTTGGCACATGAATACTGACTGAATCAAATTTCTTTTGAATGATCGTTCTATTGAGGCAGAAAGCTCTGTTGCTGTTACCAGTGAGGCAACACATCAGTGAGGTTAATTAAAGCTCTCTATGATTAAATGACTTAAGAAGTAGGCAAAAGAAGATTACAACATGTTTTTATGACAATGGTGTGCCATGTTTAGGATCCACATTTCTTGCCCACATTCTTATTTATTTGGTTTCTCCATTATTCTTCATTTTTGTGCATATTTTTATCTCGATTGTAATCCCCATGGATTTCCCATCACCAATTCACCTATGTGCCATCAGATTATAGTCCTATGCTTTCTTCCCACCCCAGCCCAGTTTTTATCTTATTTCTCCTCTTCCACCCCATTAAATGTCTCTTGTTTATAGTTATTCATTGTTTTTCATTATTCCAATTGCTTTTTTCCCCTCCTGGTCCCTTATGCTCCTACTATGAGTGAAACCATCCAGTATTTTTCTTTTTCTTTCTTTCTTTTTTAATATAATAGTTTATTTTGACATCATTTTGTGCCTTTTTTCATCTCAGCCCCATCACCCATGTGCCATTACCATAGTCCCGCCGTACTTTCTCCCCATTTTTGATCCCATTCCCCACTCCACCCCCATAAAATGTCTCTGATATATAGTTGTTCATTATTATTATTTTTCTCCCTGGTCCTTTATGCTCCTGCTACGGTGAAGTCACAGGTATTTTTCTTTTTCTTTCTGGATTATTTCACTAAGCATGATCCCTTCCAGCTCCATCCATGTTGCTGCAAAAGGCATGAGTTGATCTTTTTGATTGTTGAATAATATTCCATTGTGTGTATGTACCACATCTTTTATATCCAGTCATTTACTTTTGGGCATTTGGGTTGATTCCATGTCTTCCCTATTGTAAATGAAGCAACAAAAAAACAACAGGGTACAGGTGTCCTTTTGAGTCAATGTTTTTTTGTCCTTTGGGTAGTTATCTAGGAGTGGGATTGTTGGGTCATATGGAAGCTCCATTTTTAGAAGTTTGAGAAACCTCCAAACAGCTTTCCATAGTGGTGGTACCAGTTAGCATTCCCACCAGCAGTGTAGGAGTGTTCCTTCTCTCCACATCCTCACCAACATTTGGTGTTGCATTTGTTTTAATATGTGCCATTCTCTCTGGTGTGTGTTGGTATCTCATTGTGGGTTTAATTTGAATCTCCCTTATTACAAGTGATGTTGAACATTTTTTCATATGAGCAGGTTCTGTGTGCTGCCCGTTACTGCAGGATATCCCTGCCTGTTCTAGCCAGCTATAGACACACCTTGGCGCTCTTCCAAATAATGCCTGGGAGCTGAATGCAGGCAGTCATGCCTTGGCCAGAACCCAAGATCTTGGGGAGTCAAAGCATAGGGCTCCCCGTTCATAGCAGAGTATTGCCTATTTCAGACTTCTGGAGAAGATAAATAAAAATACCAGATGGTATCACTCACAGCAGAAGTGTAAGGGGCCAGGGGGGGAAAAAGCAATTTTTTTTATAACAGTTTATTTTTACATCATTTTGTACTTTTTTTTTTCATCTCAATTGTAATCCCCTCGGGTTTCCCATCACTGAGTCACCCGTGTGCCATCACCATAGTCCCGTGCACTTCCCTCCCCCACTCCACCCCCACAAAATGTCTCTGTTATATGGCTGTTCATTATTCTTATTATTTTCTCACCTGGCCCATTATATTCCTGCTATGAGCGAAACCATCCGGTATTTTTCATTCTCTTTCTGGCTTATTTCACTAAGCATGATCTAAAAAAAGCAATTTTAACAATGAAAAACGATGAGCAACTATAAACCAGAGACATTTTATGGGGGTGGAGAGGGGAAATAGGATAAAAACTGGGGTGGGGTGGGAAGAGTGCATGAGACTATGGTGATGGTGCATGGGTGAATTGGTAGTAAGAACTCCATGGGGACTACAACTGAGATTAAAAATGCACAAAATAAAGAAAGATCTAAAAATAAATAAAAAGAAAAAAGAAGAGGTTTTCTATCAGTGCTATAAAAATTACAACAGTAGTCTCGTTACCAGGGTACCCCAGGGTGAACTGGGATGCCTGTCTGTGGGCCCTTACCTGTGCACTTAAAATTTAGTTGTACTGCAGGCACACACAAAAGGATCAATAATGGGTTTATTTATTTATTTATTACTAAAGTTTATTTTTACATCATTTTGTACATTTTTTTCCCATTTCAATTGTAATCCCCGTGGGTTTCCCATCACCAAGTCACCCATGTGC